AGGGGGAGACGGGGGCCAGGGACCAGCTCTGGAGAGACAGCCGAGTGCAGGGGGACGTGAGCCCATCCCCGCCAGCCAGACAAATGACTGGGACCAAGGACGTGGCTGTCATCCCACCGGGGACATGGAAGCAGCAGGACGTTTTGCCGGGTGGGGGAAGTGGGGTGCAGTTCCCCCACTGGGTGCCGAAGGCCAGCGGGGTGAGGGCCTGAAGAGCAGCGGGACAGGAGGCGTCGTTTCGGGTGGCCTCGCCGTGTGCGTGGCCGTCATGCCCCCTCGTGGCAGCAGGACTCAGCTGGTGGCCCTGGGCTGGCGTGGGCAGGAGACACGCAGGGGCTGAACCCGGGTGTGGACAGGGATGGAGGTGCTGGGTGCTGTGAAGTGCCCTGGCAGGGTCACCTCGTCCCACCCAGAGCATCCTCCTGGGGGTGGAGCTCTGCTGATGCTGCCAGAGGCCATGCGTGTCCCCAGTCCCCACCAAGCCTCATGTGGCAGCCCACGAACCTGCCTCCGCTCGAGAAGGAGCCTCCTGCATCCCACCACCCCCTCTCCTTCCTGGGTGGAGGGGGGCCGTGCCTGCTTGGTGTTTTTTTGGCACAAGCCACCCGCGCAGCAGCCAAGCCAAGCACTTCAGGCGCCGCTCAAGGGCAGCGTGTGCCCCGGGCCCAGCCGGGAATCCTGGAAATATCACCAAGGCTGCAAAAAAAAACCTAGCTGGAAAAAAACAAACGGGTTGGCGGAGGCCTTTGCTGAGGACGCAGCCGCCCCGAGTGCAGCCAAACCATTTGGTGTGAGGGAGGAAGTCCTCAGCACCCTGCCTCAGTTTCCCCCAGTGAGCCCTCAGGAACAATGGTCTTGGAGTTGTCACGTGCATAATATCACTTTGGGTGCCTGGGGCAGGTGCAGGGGGTCGGGAAGATGGTTTTCTACCCCTTTCTCTTTCCTGCTGTGCATCTGAGCAACTCAGTGTCGCCTGTCATGACCTCTTCATCCTCTCTTTGCAGACCCAGGTCAAGCACCCAGAGGGGAGGAGAGCTAGCCTGCATCCTGTGGCGCCTTTGGGACACTTGCAGCTCTTAGCATGGTATCTTGCTGTCCCTAGAGCCACCCAGGCATCTTGCAAGCTGGGGCAGGCTGGCACTGCCCAGCTCCCCCGAGGCCACCAGCATGTCCAGCCTCATGGGAGAAGGACAACCCTGGGCAGAGGTTAGCTGGAGGAAGAAGCTGACCTGCCCGGTGGAGTTTTTCTTCATTCCTTGAAAGCCACGGAGACCTGCTGTGCGGGATTCAGGACTGGAGGCAGCACTGAGGTGGAGCTGCTGTGATGGATGACATGACACCGTTCCCAAATGCCTCTACCATGGGTGACAGTGCCCAAAGCACTGCAGCTAGCAGAAGGGGACACTCAGAAATGGTACCCACACACCATCTAGCACCCACGGGGAGCATCACAGCCAGCACCCAGCATAGCTTTTAATCTATGCCTAGGATGGCATAAGACAGGAGGTAGCACGTTCCTGCCTGGACATCTCCCAGGCCCAACGGGGATGGGAAGATACTGGTCTTGCTGCATTTACATCATGAAGCAGCCCATCTCTGCCAAGCACAAGGAGGTGTTTCTGAGGCTTGCAGCTTGGCCAAGGTCAGGTTTGCAGGGGGCAACGTGGCTGCTGTGCCCTGGACCTGCTCCAGGAAGGGAACAAGCCTACCTTGGACCCACGTCCTGGTTGGCTAAAATGGCCCAGGAGATGTTTGTGAGGGAGAGGTGAGGTTTGAGATGGGGCATGTACTCTTGATTTTACTGTGCCGTGCCCTTGCACTCGAGCCGCCTTCCTGCCCTTGAGCGTGCAGCCTTGAGCCTGGCAGCAGTCCTCGCTCTTTCTGGCAGGGTCCCCCCGGGTGTCCTGGTACAGAGGGGATCATGCTGTCCCTGCGAGGGACAATGGTGTCTGCAAGCCCTGGGGCTGGCTGCTGCAGGCTGAGCAACAGGGCTGGGGATGCAGCAGGAGGGATGCTGGCTTGGCCCAGGGGGGAGTACCACATCGCCCTGGCCTCTCGGGGCTCCACAGGGGAGGGGGACACGAGGCTCCCCAGGCAGGGCCAGCCCCAGGACACCTCCAGCAGCACCCAGGTCCTGCTCTGCCTCAGGGCAAGGGATGCTGGAGGGAGTATCACCCCTTCCCTCCTGCCACCACCCTTGGCACTGCCTGTTCCAGCCCACACCATCAACAGCCTCTGAGCCCAGCAGCAAGGTGAGCCAGGCACAGGGATGAGGGACACGGGCAGCATGTCAGATCACTTTATTGCCACAGAGGCCATGGGCCAGACCCAGTTCCCAGAGAGGGTCTGGGTCCAGCCCCTTGACCCCTCTAATACTGTTGAGAAGATGAACCCCAAGCTTCCACGCCCGTGCATGGGCACCAAGTATCCTCCATCCTGGCCACCATTGAGCAGCTTTGGGGCATGATTCCCATCCTGCTGCCTACCCCTCCAGGAGCTGGAGGCCAGCAGAGAAAAGCAAGGTGAGACCAAAGGTGCAGAGCGTGCCAGTCCTGGAGCAGCAGGAGCTGCCACCACGTGCTTCCCTGGGGGCTGCTGGTGCTAGGGAGCAGCACAAGCCCCCTCGGCCCCCTCAAACCTCCATGCCAGGTGCCCGTCCCAGGCCCAGCGCCTGCACCAGGTCATCACTGAGCCCGCTCTTCAGTGTCCGTCGCACTGCAGGAAGAGGAGAGCGTGGCGCTAGCAGCACGAGCAGCGCTGGCTGCCAGGGTCCCCATGCACTGCCTGGACACGGTGGCCCTGGCATGCTGGGGAGGGGAGGGGTGGCAAGGGGGTGCAGTGGCATGGTCTGGTCTCAGCGTACCTCCTGCTGTGGCCTGGTGGGCTCAACATGGGAGGTCAGGGGTGGCCAGTGGGGAAAAAGCCAGGCAGGGCATGGGGACAAGGACACAGAGATGGGACAAGGCATGGGGACAGCAACAGAAATGGCACAGCGACACAAATATGGGAAAAAGCATCTGGGCAGGGACACAGGACAGAGTACAGGGCCAGGGCCACTGAGGTGGGAAAGGGACATGGAAACAGGACAGAGTACAGGGGACAGGGCATGGGAACGGGGCCATAGAGGACACAGGGACAGGGCACAGGGACACAGAGATGGGCAAAAAGCTGAGCAGGGAGACTGAAATGGGACAAAGTGCAGGGACAGGGGCAGAGCATGGGGACAGAGACAGAACAGGGCACAGGGACAGGGATGGGACTTACAGGACTTCCTATTGCCACGGGACCTCCTGCGCTCCTTGTTGGCACAGGGCCGGGGGTTGGTGTTGTGAGTCACCGATTTCACCAGCCGGTCCATGATTTCATCTGAAGCATCATCTGGGGAGCTGGGAATGTCCTCCTGGGCTGGAGAGCCCTGGGCCGGGGTGGCATGCCCTGTCCCTGCACGGGGACAACAGGGATGCTGCCATCAGCCGTGTCCAGCCAGCCAGGCATGCCTCAAGTGCCTCTGCAACCCCTCTCCTACCCTGGCTGGCCCGGCTGCGGCGGGCAGGGACATCCGTGGGGGAGGTCAGCAGGCTCTTCATGCTCTCGTGACCTGCTTCCATCTGCTCCATGGGGCCACTGGACACCACAGCGGGTGGTGAAGCAGCTTCGGCAATGCCGGAGAACTTCTCAGTCTGTAGTGGGAGGAGAGGCGGGCGTCAAGAGACCTGGGGGGCATCACCTGGTGGTGGCAGCCAGCTGAGTGTCCCCATGCCTCAGTGATGAGCCGTCCCCGAGTCTTGTTGCGCTCGCGATGGGCAGCTCGTTTCTTCTGCTGTTGAAGGACGCGCTCCCGGCACGTGCGGTACTCCAGGGCGAACTCCCGCAGCAGCTTGCAGATGGGAGTCACCTTCACGTCCCGTGCCGTACTTGCCGGGTACCCCAGGTACAGCAGAAAGGAGTGAAACCTGCGGGTCATGAAACGTCGGTCACAGTGGGCCACCAACGAGACCACGGGGTTCCCGTTGTGTCCCCAGGACCCTGAGCCACCGACCTGTTGAGGACACGCCTGTGCACCACCTTCAAGACGACAATGCGTTGGGTGCTGTCCTTGAGGAAGTCTGTCAGCTTGCTCTTCAGCACTGGCTTGGTCTCGTGCTTGGCAATCACCTTCAGGTTGTCCCAGGAGGCCCTGCACCTCCGCTCCAGCTGCACCAGGCTGTTGGCCAGCTCATCAAAGTCAACCTGGAAGAGCAAGACATCAGCTCTGGTCTGTGCTGGTGGAGATGGGCAGCCAGGGGACCTACACCCTTGCCTTGCCCGGGTGGAATCTGTCTTGTCTTACCTTGGCGGAACGGGTGATGGAGCCAATTTCTGAGTAGAGGTCGGTGGTTTCTGGGAACTTCTCTACCACCATCTGGCAGAGATGGTGGAGCAGGGACTGCCGGTGCACTGTGTCCTTCACTTCTGAGACCTTCTCCAGGTAGCCCAGCTCAAAGCCTCTGCTCTGAAACCCCAATGGACTCAGCAGGGCCTCTCCATCCCTCCTTCAGCAGACCTCCAGTCTGCAGTCCCACCAGGCCCCCACCAGCACCATCCAGCCTCAGGTGCCATCCCAGGCTTCCCATGGTCCCTCTTGGGTACCCATGCACCATGGCTGGTCCTGTCCTTGCAGCACAAGACAGGCCACATCCCTCCACACCCTGCTCCTCACCTGGGAGCCGTTCAAGAAGTTGCCCATGGCCAGCAGTGTGGCAAGGATGCATTTGAAGGTGTGATTTCTGGCCAGCTGCTCCATGCCCACCTTCAGATCAAAGAGCGGCTCTGCAATCTCCTGGGTGAGGAGAGAGGCAGGTGAGACCCCTTGGCCACCCTCTTCCTTGGGAGCTTCAACATTCGCTCTTGCCCACCATGAGGACAACCACCTCACAGTCAACCTAAGCCCATGTTTGCCTTGGGGACCTGCATCCCCAACCAGGATGGCGCCTCCCGTACTTGAACATGGCTGGTCCCCACCGGGAAGACGCTTGGCTCAGTGCTCAGCACTGCTGGGGCTGGCAGTGGTGGGAGGGTGGAGGGCAGGTGGGGTACATGACTCTGTACCTGCTCCAGGCTCTCATAGTCCAGCTTGAAGGCCCAGAGCTGGAGCCTGGCCGTGAGGTCACTGATGGAAGACAGGGCAAGGAGGAACTGTTCCGCAGAGCCCAAGGGCACATCAGGGTTGGCCAGTTGGGCCTCCTGGATCTTCTGCTTCTCCTCCTCAGTCGGGACCATGGTCAGGATTTTCTAGAGCAGGCAAAGAGGGATGTGTTAGACTCCAGACACGTCACCACGGGACATGTCACCCCAGGGCTGGCAGCACAGGCATCATGGCATGGAGGCCGCCTGGCCAGGAGAAATGACCCACATGAGGACCTCAGAGGGGCTGAGCTTCTCTCATGCTCACCTCAATCCCTTCCTTATTGACCGCAAACTCGTCAAAGTTGAGGACAGCCGTCTTGATGATGTGCATGGGTGGCAGCACTGTAAGGCCAATGTTGATGGCATTGCTCCTCTTGGGGTCCAGCACCACCACTACCTTCTTCCCATCGATGGCCTTCTGCAAAGAGGACAGGATGGATGGGGACAGCCAGGCAAAGGGCTCGTCTTCATGAAAACACCATGGACATGGGGAGCAAATCAGGGACCTGGTGGTGAGCCAAACCTGCGCACTGCCCATCACCGTCCCCACTGAGTGTCCGGGCTGCGAGTACCCATCTTCAGCATAGAGTAAGGGTGACAGTGCATGCCTAAGGTCTTCACAGGAGCTAACAGCCTTCCTCCCACCCCTCAAGTCCCCTTGGCTGATGGGTGCCAGCCTGCTGGTACCTTTGAAGTTGGCACTTCCTTTGACCGTGACTCAAAGAGATGCTCCAGTTTGGCAGCATTGACCTCAACGTTCTGCAGGGATGCCCACAGTGTTGCCTGGCCGAACCTGCCTGGCCCCACAGTGCCATCCAGCTGCTTCAGCTCCTTCCAGAAGAGCTTCACTGTCCTCTTCTTCTTGGCTTGGGAGGGGCCATCCATTGCTGAGAGGCCTGGCAGCCCTGGGGGCGGCAGGCAGCCAGGGACTAGAGGAGGTGGAGGTGGTGGGCAGCCAGGGATCGCAG